TAGTTGGTAATGTGAATGACAGGGATGGTTTTAGGAATATGGATTCCATCTGAAAGAAGGAATCGTATCGAGCCACGACGTACGATTTAAACCTGAGGTTATATGCAATTTGCGAATTGTTGAAGTTAAAGCCAAATCAATGAACCAGCATCAGTCGGAATGTTTTAGTGTGAATGAAAACTCCGAAGAAGTAAAAAGTGGTATCGGTGAAATTGTGGAATCTGAGAATATAAAAAGTGTAGAAGAAAGTGCGAGTGAATATCAAGAAGTGAATAGAGAAGAAAGAAATAGTGATAGTGTTCAAGAATCTAAGCGTTACCCTACACGTGTTAGAAATAAACCAAAATTATATAATGATTTTTTGTTAAGGTCTATTATTTAGCTTATCTACTTTTCATGTTGATGGAGAGTGTTAGAATATCCAACATAAAAAGTGGATGTTGTCCTATAGTTGTTCTATATGAAGTGACATTGTTGACAGTTCAATGAGTAATGTCAAAAATAGGTCATATAAACTACAGTCAGTCAAGTTTTGTATTGTTCTGTATGTAAAAAGGAATAAAGTATAATTGTTGATGGCCAGACGTTTATTGGTACATATTTCCTAAAGTACATATTTCCTTGTCTCTTAATGTCTTCAAACTAGGAGGACTTTACCTAACTTGAATTATAACAATTTCCACTCAACTCCAATTTATTCAGACGGTCCAGCCTTTGTATGCTTTAGGATGGTGATGTACAAGAATTCCATTTAATAATAGCAAAATTACAATGATCAATGAACAGAGTTAAATCTAAATAAATGGGTACAATGACTCAAGAAAGTAGAAGATTTTCAAAGTTAATAATTGTGGAACCAATAAATCTTATTTATAATAATGTTATTATCATAATTTTACTCCCAATATTTTAATTTCCATATGCTTTTTAAATACAGAATAGAGATCTGCCCAGAAAAGTCGTTGAAATATTCCTACGGCACTGGCGGTTTAAAACAATAGATGGAAAAAGGACATACGGAACTCGGATGAGCCGATACGCTTACTCGTACATATATAGATAAATGACTTACTTGGTATCGATATGGATAAACCGCATGTCCATAGAATGAATGGATGTAAATACGTTGGTGGCACCCTGAACGACACACTCCCTGGTTTCAGGCATGGCGACCGGGGTACACGTTGCTAAAAATACTGGTTCATTGCGACTACATAGTGGTAAAAAGGAGAGGTATCTTCCTTGAACTAAAACTACCTGAAAAAAAAAAATAAAATAAAATAAAAAATCATTAATACTGATTATGGAGAACACTATTCAGAATAATGTTGATTTATACAACTATATATCTAATCATAATCGTGGAAAGGATTGCTAAGGGTAGTAATAATTGAATACAAACATTTTTCCATATTTACGCACTAAAGCAGGGATGGCCAACCCGCGGCACGCGTGCCACTCTGTGGCACGATTGAGTCCTATCAGTGGCACGCGTAGCGTGCCACTGATAGGACTTTCAAACTGATCAAACTTTCAAAAAAATTAAAACTTGAAAAACAAAAAATAATAAGAAGAAACTTGGTAGGTTTACGGAAGTTACGATAGATGAGGCATCATTGCATCTTCTGGCGAGCGATATTGCTGCGATTGGTGCACGTGATCCTAGCTGTCGTAATGTGCAATAGGACTGCGTTACCTTGCTTAGTTTATTTTAAACTGCCCGTTGTATGTGCACATTTTGTCATCGCGCATTGTTTCTTTAAAATTTTAAAAGTATTTGTTCGATATGTCCACGAGTAAGCCTTCGATTTCAAAACGAAAATACGAAGATGATATTGCAATTCGCGATTTTCAACCTGCTTGGGAAGAACAATTTTTATTTACTAATCGTAATACTTCAAAGCCTGTTTGTTTGATATGTGGATTGTCTGTAGCAGTTCCGAAAAAATTTAACCTGGAACGACATATAAACAACTACATAAGCACTTCAGCAACAAATATCCTATTGGTTCACATTTGCGAGCCGACTTTATTGAAAAAAAAAAGAAAACCCTAGCCAGCAACAGTCACTGTTTCAGAAGAGAAGTGATGAAATGGAAACTATGGTTAAAACATCATATGAACTTTCTCTGCTGTTAGCCCGGAAGAAAAAAGCCTACTCTGATGGAGAGAAGATAATTAAAAATAGTCTGGCAATATTTGCTAAAAATGTGGGAGATGTAAAGATCAAAAATATGGTCGATAATATTGCATTATCCGAAATACAGTCATGCGCCGTATAGATGATAATGGGCCAGGATGTTGTTTCCCAAATTATAAGTGGATTACAATCCTGCAAATTCTTTTCTTTAGCGTTGGATGAAAGTTGTGACAACACAGAAAATGCGCAGTTAAAGCATTTTTGTCAGTTATACCAATGATAATTTTGAAAATGCCGAAGAGCTTCTGGATTTGCGCCAACTAGTCACAACAACAGGAGAGGACATTTTTCAACAGCTTAAAAACGTAATCGAAGTCAACAAAGTTGAATGGTCAAAATTAGATAGTGTTTGTACAGATGGAGCTCCTTGCATGGTTGGTAGACTAAAGGGGTTTGTTACATTACTGAAAACTATTTGGGAAGAAAAGTTTTTAAGTACCATTGTATTATTCACCAGGAAGCTCTTTGTGCCAAGGACCTAAACATCATCTGTTGTTGACCCTGTAACACGCTGCATTAACAAAATACGAGCTCGGGCATTGAATCGACGACAATTTCGAGAACTGTTCGCGGAAGAAACGGAGCAAGATGGAGAGTTACTTCTCCATTGCAGTGTGCGCTGGCTCTCCAAAGGAAATGCACTCGAAAGGTTTTGGAACTTGAAGGAGTGCGTCTTAAAAATATTTGCAAGAAAACAATGAACACCCAGTGAGTGCTCGTTACTTAATGATAAAGATTGGCTTTTGGATTTAGCTTTTCTCACTGATATTATGAGACATTTAAATCTATTAAATTTAAGATTACAGGGAAAAAATTGTATTTTTCCTACTCTAGTTGGTCATATATCTTCTTTTGTGAATAAACTTATGCTTTTTTGTAACGATTTTGGAGAACAGAGATTGACACATTTCACATTCATGCAGGAATTAGCCAACAAGGTCAGTAGAACTCCAAATTATGACAGATTTAAAAACCTTATATCTATTTTGCTAGGTTCATTCAATACCCGGTTTGAAGATTTTCAAAAAGACAAAATGAATGTTGACCTTTTCATAAATCCTTTTTCTATTTCTCTGCAAGATATCAATTGTTACTCAGCTGAAATACAGATCGAAATTATTGATTTACAGAACCACACTATACTAAAAACCAAATATAGGGAAATTATTTCAACTGTTACTGATCCCAATTATATTGAATTTTGGAAATTTGTACCAGCAAACAATTTTCCTAATTTACACGAGTTAGCTCTGAGATATTGTTGTAGATTTGGTTCAACGTACGTTTGTGAGCAAATGTTTCTATATATGAACATAATAAAATCAAAATATCGGTCACGATTAGCTGACATGCATTTAAAAAATCTAATTCTGTTGCTCGATCCCGAAATGAATCCAATATAGATGAATTAATTAAAAAAATACAAGTTCAAATACCACATTAAATAAGTAACTGTTTAATAATTTGAATTTTAGATAATAAGAAAATATTTAAGTTTTTTTGTTTAACGTTTTTATTTTATTTTATTAACAATAAAGTAAGTTTGTTGTTATGTTTTACTTATTACGTTATTTTTTAAACCTCCACTATCTTGACTAAACGGAAAAATGTGGAATTTACATAAGAAATACATATTGTACCGTATATTATTAATATATAGTATCCATATTAGTATGTCGAAAAATTTTAGTGGCACGCCAAATTTTTTTTGTTCTCATATTGGCACTCGACTTAAAAAGGTTGGCCACCCCTGCACTATAGTGTGAAAGACCAAATTATAATCTAATTCAAATATAACAGTGTTTCCAATATTTTGGCTTGCGTCTAAATAACAATTTTAACTGCTTCTTACCACTTTTTTCGTAGTCTTTCTCTCTTTATTTTACTCCCACGTCCTCCAAAAAGCACCTTTTTTACACAAGGTGTCTCTGGCATTCGGGTGATGTGACCTAACCACCTGACTCTCTGTGCTTTGACTTTTTGTACAATTAGGGGTTTTCCATACATCTCCATTACCTATTTATTTGTTCTTCTTCTCCAGTTTCCCTCCGCCGTCCTAATACCACCAAAAATCTTCCGCAATACCTTCCTTTCCCAGATCTCGATTTACATTTCATCTTTTCTATTCATAGTTCAGGTCTCACAGGCATACACTGCCACTGGCCGAATTACTGTTTCATATATTTGAATTTTTGCTGTTCTACATATATTTTTTGCTTTTAGAATATTGTTTAATGAGCCCATTGCTCTACTTCCTTTTAATAGTCTCTTTTCTATTTCTTTTTCGACTTCCCCTTTATTCGTTATTGTTACACCCAAATACTCGAACTGGCTGACATTTTCAATTTTAAATCGTTAAGAACTACATCTCTCACTTCACTCGCGGTTTCACTGTTCCTGGCTTGTTGGGCTGTACGATCCGCTTCTTCATTCCCTTGAAGGCCAATGTGTGAAGGAACCCATAGGAATTGTACAGTATAGTTATTGTTTTAAATGTAGTTAGTTCTTTTTTGATTAGGAGAGCAATTGGATGCTCGTATATATGTAATCGTGTACAGTTGGTTAATGGTATTGATGGAACTAGGGAATCGGCAATTATAAGAGCATTTGATATATTGCTGGAGTTAATATAAACGAGAGCTTGATGATGGCGTATAGCTCGCCGGTATGTATACAGCTTAAGGATGGTAGTTTATACTCAAGTAAAATATTTGGAGTAATGAAAGCTGCCCCAACTCCAGTAGATTTTTTAGAAACATCTGTGTAAATATGATAGGATTTAGAAAATTTTGTAAGTTTGTTGATGAAAGCATTTTTTATTAAGGAGTATGGAGTATCCTTCTTTCTGAAGATATTTAAAGATGTATCGGATTGAGAAATGCCTAATGTCCAAGGAGGAGGAATTTCTATGAAGTTGGAATAGGTATTTGGTATCGGAATTTGTAAAGTTCTAAGGGTTTGCCTAACTCTTTCGTAGAATGGCGGTTTCATGTTTCTATTTTCAGTATATAGGTTTTTAAAACGATCAGTAAATATGTTACTTCTAGATGGATTGTTTGGATTGGAATTAGCAGCAAATGCGTATGTGAGAGATAAGTGCATCATTCTAGATTTAAGTGATGGCTCTCCAGTTTCTGCTCGTAAATTCTATTGGGCTGGTCCGAAATGCTCCTGCGCTTTATATGCCGTATTTTGAATTACGTCAAGGTAGTGTAATAAGTATTCTTTAGCAGATGCAAATACTATGGAACCGTAATCTATTTTAGATCTAATTAGGGTTTTATAAACATGGATTAAGCAGCTATAGTCAGCTCCATAGTTTTTATTAGAGAGAGTTTTCATAAAATAATTCCATTTTGGCATATTTTTTTATTCGTAGAATGTGTTTTTTGCATGTGAGTTTCGTATCAAAAATCATCCCTAAGAACCTAATGTCATCGGCATAATTCTGGATTTTACTACATAATTTTAGTTGCGGTTTAATCGATCACGTTTCTTTGAAAATCACAAACACTTTGATTTGCTGAGTGAAAACTGTAATCCTGTTTTCTTCGACCAGTTTTCGAGTTCATGAAGTAAGGTTTGTAAGTACCGCTGTACTGATGAGATGTTTTTTTCCTGAAGATACTAATACCAAATCATCCGCATATAATCTGCCACGAACTAAGCTGAGTTTGATGGTATAATATTATTCATGGCAATTAAAATAACTTTGCGCTCATTACAGACCCCTGAGGGTGCCATTAGCTTGACGTCTTGGTTGAAGGTGTGCAGTGGTTGACTCTTAATTGAAAATTGCGTTTCAAAGGAAATTTGAAATGAAATTAATGATATTACCTCTAATATTCCCAAGTCTGTAATGATCGGATAATATCGTAACGCCATGCTGTGTCAAATGCTTTTGTGGTGTCTACGAATTACTGCACTAGTTTCCAAAAAAATACAAAAATTATTGTAATAAAGCAAATATTATAAACGAAACAAATTTCTTAAACGTGACAAAATTTAAAAAAAACACATTAAAGAGAAGATTTTATTTTCTGACTGCCTTCTTCAT